TTTAGGGTTTAGATGGTTTAGGGGCCTACCCTCTTCATAGCAGCAACCATGCCTTGCCATATGACGAAAAAAAAGGACCCTGTCACGATCACATGAGCCGCGGACTAAAGTTAGGTAAGGGAGAACCTACAGGACCTTTCCAGGAATACATTAGAGCTATAGTCCAGGGGTCATATGACTCTTGCAGCTTTGTTATCATAAGTTATCACAAGCTTGGGGGCTACCCAACTCTGCTTATCATTGACAAGTGCAGTCTCTATCAACCCCAAAATGAGCCGGGTACCGATTCCTGTCCGTTCTTCTACGTGCGCAAGCCCTATCCCCAAATCCTGACACCCTAGACCCCAACACATTAACTAATCCCAACACTCTAAATCCTAGACCCATTATAGTCCCCCCCCTAGTTGCAGGACACTTACGGTTCGTAGTCGCTCAACCCTTACACCCTAAGACCCAAACTCTTAACCCCTAAAACCCAAACTCTTAACCCCTAACACCCAAACCCTAAGCCCCTAAAACCCAAACCCTGAACCCCTAAACCCCTTAACCCTAAGACCTAAACCCCAAACCCCAAACTCCTAAACCGCTGAACCCTAAACCCTTAAACCCTTTGTATCCTTACCCTAAGGGTGCAAGTACCCAATAATCATATACTTACCCCAACACCTCTATTAGAAATACTATTACTCTAAACCTAAGTACCTAATTATTGGGTACTTGGACCCTCTGGGCCAAATCCATGTCAAAAAAAGTACCCTAAACACTATATCCCTAAAACCCTAGTATTTGGGTCCTTGGACCCTTAGGGTTATTCATGGTACTGTTGATGGATGAAATCCTACACCACCTTACGTCCCTAAGGTCCTGGGAATTACAGTAGTTTAGGGGCTCTAAGTGGTGCAAGATTTCCTCCATCAACCCTAAACCCTAAACCCTAAGTTATTCATGGTAAGAAGCCGAGGAGCAGGCCACTAGGATCGGCCTACAAGGCCGCACTCGACATCGCGTCGTGACGTGCCTTGGCGGCCTTGGGGATTTAGGGATTTAGGGCTTAGGGTTTAGGGTTTAGGGTTTAGGGTTGAGGATTTAGGGTCTAGAGTTGTAGGTTTACGGTTTGAGGATTTAAAGGCCTAGGGTTTTGGATGTAGGTTTTAGGGTTCACTTGAATTTCAAGCGTATGTAGAAATACGGACTCTTTGACTGCTTTGATATGGGTTTTGGGCTGTTCGTTTACGTACTTGTGAGGACCAGGTAGAGAGGGTGTAGGGTTTAGGCTATAAGGTTTCAGGATTTGCGGCCTAGGGTCTACAGTTACAGGGTGCGGGATTTACTGGCTCATTGTTGGAGATGGCCCCTTTTCAGTTCTTTCTATGCTAAACACCCATAAGACGTGTTAGAAACATGGTTTTCAGTAGCATCGCAATAAGGAATTAACCATGGTATCGATTGGGTACTGCCACCACTCAGTAACAGGGGAGTTAGACTTATAATATGTTGATATTACCCCTACTATAGACTGTTACTGGGTGGGGGCAGGACCCAACGCATACCCCGAACCTTAAACCCCGCTAAACGCGAAACCTCAAACCCCAAAACGTAAATCCTAAATCCTAAACCCTAAACCCCAAACCCTAAACCCTAAACCCTAAATTCTAAACCCCTAAACCCTAAATCCTAAATCCTAGCCAAAAAGTCTTGGGCTTGCATGGGTTTGAGAAAGTGGTCTCCGATAGGCTCTTGATATCACTCCTTCCGCATAGATGTGCTCTGGACTAAGGCCTCTTCCAACAGCAGCGCTTCGCGGGCGCACCAGACCTTAAACCCTAACCACTAAAACAACAAAAAAACCCAAATCTAAAACCTGGAAACATTAAGCCCTAAGCCATAAAGGATGCACAACCCGGCAGGATGCATGAGGGTTTTTGAGAGGAGATATTCAGACCCTCCGATGCAGTTCCTTTAGGGCAATATCCCTTACCAACAATACATGACAGACCCAAAAAGGAACTACATAGAAG